TGGGTTCCAGTAATAACAGTAAAGGAGCAAAAATAATCCACCTTCTCCATACCATGCATCATTTTTATACCTCTATCATAAGAGCACGGGACTGGGACTCAGAGGATCCGGGTTCTAGTCCCCGCTTGGCCGTGGAGCCAACTGGGTGACTTTGGGCCAGTCACAGCCTCTCAGCCCAACCTACCTCACAGGGTTGTTGTTGTGGGGATAAGATGGAGGAGGAGAGAAGATGTAAGCTGCCTTGAGCCCTTTGTAGGAAAAAGGCAGGATATAAATCGCAATATCTATCTTTAGTCGCCTTTTTTCTAACCTAAACAATTCCAGATGTTTCCTTACCCTTGTCCATTTTAGCTGCCCCTTTCTGCATGTTTTCCAACAGTACAACATACATTTTAGATGCAAAGACTGGAACTATACACATAGTATTCCAAGTATGATCACACCACATATTTGAATAAGTGGAGCATGATACTGCTGCTGTGATTTTCAGTTCCTTTTCTAATCATGCCTAACCTGGAGTTTGCCTTTCTTACAGCAACCACATACTGAAATTATATTTTCATTCAGCAGTTCCCTATAACCTTAAGATCTCTTTCTTGATCAGTCACTGCAAGCTCATATCCCATCAGCTTTTGCCAACATGCATAATATTATACTTGTTTACTGTGACCTGCATTTGTCATGTTTATGGCCATTCTCCCCATTTGGAGAGATCCTTTCGAATCTCCTCCCCACAGCTTTTTAAAACTCCATGATATAATTTTATGTTACATTATGTGGAGCACTTCATTGCTCACTCATAAGGGAAATTATTCAGTTTTCTACCAGGCTGTCCTACTAGAATGGCTGAAAATGATCTGTAGCTCTTTTGGAATCTCTAGGCAGGAATAGGCAACTTGTGGTCCCCCCAGTGGGCTTACAATTCCCTAATCAGCTTTGCTGGTGGTTTGATATGCTAGGGCTTGTTGACTGAATTGTCTGGATGACCCCTGAGCCAGAGCTTTTAAAGCATAAAAAGGCATTGATTTGGACTCAGGTTTGTTTACTATTGTTTTCAGAGCTAAGCAACCCTCTAACAAAAGTTAGATAATCTAGATACATCCAACGTTTTCTACCTTGAATCCTTTTATTTGCTAGCCATCACCCTTTACTCACAGCAAAATTCCAGTGAAAAGAAGGATAAAATTAATTCATTCAGTTATGAAAAAGACTGCCATGTTGGCTGAAGCACCACAAAACAAGAAAATTGTAGGCCAATCCTGGGATCAGTGCTGATGTTATGCATTGTCACAAACTATGTCTGCTTACAGCTTATTCTCCATGTACCATACTTCTCCTTGGCCTTTCAGGGCCAAATTCAGATGCAGGGGAGGGGGGCGCTAAAGTGCCTTGGATCAGCATAAAGCTTGTATTGCCTTATTAAGCATCTGAGCCTTACTGTTTTTGCAATGAAAGATGTGGATTCCAATTGAAGCCTGTAATTTCTTTCCTATTTTGTTTAACCATTAAAAGAAAGCCAACTTATATTTGAGAAAGAAAATATGGGATGCAGAACAGTTCCAGGAACTTGTGTAGGCCTGTCAGTAGAGTTTATTTCAGAATAACTTGCATAGAATTATAGTTTATAACAGCTGTTATTCCAACCTCCCACCCCTATTTCCAGAGCCACAGGGCTTAATTCTGAATTTGACTTATGTTTCAGTTCTGCTTATCTCTTTCCTCCGGTGGTCTTCCTGCCATGCCCATAATCTGCAGATGCCATTTGCCACCTGTCTAGCTATGTAAACATCTTCTGATTTTATCTCCCACAAAAGATTTCTTAAATTATACTAGTGTAGTATACTTGTTATAAGGTGGTATGGCATGAACCAGTAGAAAGTGGTTTCTGCTCAGCAGGCAGAATGCCATTCCTTGAGTGAGAAGGTTTTGGAATTCCTTGAGAAATACAGATAAGGTGGAATGGGATCCAGGCTAAAAGAGTAAAGCTCATCCCTCCAGCTTTACACATGTCTCTTGGATAACTTGTGGTGTTCAGGGTCCTGCCCCAGTAGAAGCTCTTCCTGGCTTCTACTCAGAATGGACAGAATGCAATAGAAAAGGACTTAAACCATTTGTTTGAGCATGAAAGGCTGGAGGCCTAGAATGTCTTGACTATAATCACCCAACAGTATCAATGAGCAGAAACAAAGGGTTCTTCTTTGCATGCTGCCTTTTAAGAGGCAGATGACCTCTCCTATGAATACTCATAAGCCAGAGTCTGTTTCTTTTGCTTTATCACAGAGACCAATCATCAGCACAATGCTAACACAATACTCTTGCTGAATTTTGAACTTCTGGAATGTTTCTAAAACAAGCACAGCTGGGTACATGTGTATTCGTTCTTGTTATGTGTCATCAAGTTGTTTGCAACTTATGGTCAATGAAAGACCTCCAAATCTCTCTTGGATGCATGCCTTAATGTGGAGAGGGGGATTCCAAGTGTCAAAGAAGCGGAGATCACTGCGACCAGAGACTGTCTCAATAAGCTAATCTCTTAACAGGGTCACCCAAGGTAGAATGGTCAAAGCAGAGACATGAATCAACCCTCTTCAGGACTAACAGTCCCGTTATCAGAAGAGAATGGCTATCCTTAATGGTGATGGGGGTGGAGAAACTTCTGAAGGGCAGCTACTGGGCAGCAGTGGTAGTTGAAGGTGACACTGATGAAGGATCTTTCATAGACAATGGCAGTGACACTCACTCTTACTTTGGTTAGTACAGTACAGAAGAAGGCAATGGCACACCACTCTGAATCTTCTTACCTTGAAAACTTTATGATGAAGCAATCCAAAATAAAACAACTGTGTACATTATGTTGTTTTGTGTGCGGAGAATTCCAGTATAATCTTTTCCTTCATGCCATCTTCAACAGTGATCTGTCTATCAGTAAGAGTGATCCCCCCACATCCGTCTTCAGAACTACTTGACTCTCATCTCAGCTGTCAGTTAAGATGACCTCCCTAACATCTCAGTTGACAGTTCTTGCCAACCCTCACACCACTGTCAGAATGCTGACAGAACACTGGAATTCCTCTCATGCCCTTGGAGTACTGGCAACATTCTAGCTTCAGAGTAACAATGAGCATGGTCAATGTAACTTATTCAGCAGTTGTTGCTACAGGCTGCAATGAGAAAGGAAACAAACCTTATCGCCTTTGAACTGCTGCTCAGAATTTCACCAACCAGTGAAAAGCATGCCTCTTTGGCAAACCAGAATGAAGTGCATCACTAGTTTCCACTAAATGTGAAACAAATACAATATCCCAAGCTGTAGTTTGGACCAAAAGTACATGTCAGTTTTCAGCACTTTTTATCTTGTAACCATGGCAATTTTTATCACATCACTTCAAGTTTCATGTTATTTAGCTAAATGGTATCAATTTACAAGCAGCAGAAAGTTGAGTCTTATAATAGTTGGAACCACTTTTTGTCACCTTAATGAAGGGGGCACCATTCCTCCTTTAATCAGATATAGAAAGTTGCCACTGAAAATTCTAATTCCCTTGGTCTAGAAATGGTGGTGAGTTTGTATAAACGTCAGACTTCATTTGGCCTTCAAAGTGTTTACTAATTTTCTATACTTGTTTAGAAAGGTTTTTCTAAGTAACTATATATATATAAAAAAGAAATAACCAGAATGGTCTGGTGTGAGCAGACTCTTCCTGAACAACAGAGAGATTGTTTCTTCTCCACTGATGTGGTGCCAGAAGCAAAATTGGAGTGATACATTAATATTTTGCCAAGCACCCACATGTTAGTGCATTAGCTACAATAATTATTCTCTTTCTCCTCTTAAGATTTTCTAGAATATCACACACAAACTAGGGTAAAACAGAGCTACTGAACAGAAAATGTAGTGTCCCCATGTCATTTTTTCCCTCTGACTGTCAACCACAAGAGGATTTTTAATAGTGACTGTCTGCCATCTCTACAGATTCCTTTGCTTTGCATATACTGTACATAATGCCTGGGACTCTAGTGACTTGAAGCTCTTAGCCTCAGAAGACCTGCAACAGTTACAGTCTGACTGCATGGAAGAACCTGAAAGTGAATGAGGCTTCTTTAGCCAGAAACTGTAAGGACAAGATGGGGAAAGTCAGGAAGATCTGCTGAGGATTAAAAACACAGCACCTGATTCAGGACAAAACAAAACCCTGGAAGTCACAAGCAACCAGGGAAGTGAGGCTTGCCAGTTTCATCACTGGAGCATCACTTTGTGTAGACTGGGCAATGGTGGAGCATCTATACCAGAGTAATGACACTCGTATAGACAAGAGGGAGCAGCAAGCACAGTCTCAAAGCAAAAGGTTAGCTTGCTTTAAAAAGACTTTAAAACTGCTGCTAGAGTTAGTAAAAATACATTTTGGAAGCGCAGTGTTTTCTAACATCCAGAGCCTTATTATAGTGAATATGTTTGTGAGTTACTCCAATACTCTGATATCAAAGTAAAGTGATGCATAAAGCATTTTGGTGTTCAGATGAAAAACAGCAACCACTGTACTGAATTAAGGCTTGGTGAGATTTGTAATTCCTCCATCTTACAAGGCAAAGGTGATGGGGATCAAGAAGCTTCCACCTTCACTCCAGGAGGTGAGCATCTTGATGGAAAAATGTGGTTGTTTAGAGTCGTTTTTAGAGCTGAGGCTCAGGTCTAACTGAAAATCACATGTCAGGGTAAGGCTGGGGCTTCTGGTCCACCAGATGTTTTTGGATTCCAATTCCACCAGCCTCAGAGGTTAAGGATGATGGGCATTGGAGTCCATCAAAGCCCAGCAGGAAGCTATGCATCTCCATGCATCTGATGAGGTCCGCGGAAGTTCAAGCCAGGCTCAGTGGGTTAGTCTTTAAGATGCCGCAAGGCTCTGTTTTTCTTGCCCTTTCAGGGGAGATCTGCTTCAAGTTACAGCAGGAAGGGAACGGAGGAAGAAGAACAGAACCGGGGGAGCCTGTCGTTTCCTTACCTGAGTGTCTGGAAGAGGAGATGAATCTGGGCGCGTGTCCAGCAACTCGTTCCCTGGAAGAAGAGGCGGAGGACGAAGTTGTTCTGCCCTCTTGATCAACCGCCGGCGAGGCGTAAAGGGCGCCGCCGTTGGTGTAACGCCGGGCGATGACCCGTTCCGCCCCCAAGAGGTGGGAAGGCGCCTGGTGGCTGCTGCTGTCCCCGAGGACTTTGAGCAAGAGTTCGAGCAGCATCTTCCTGTCCCCCGCTGAAATCTGGAGATCTCTGGTCTTGCTCTTGACGGAGGCGCCCTCCACACGGGAGGTCCGTGCCGAAGCCAAGAGCAGGAAGAAGAGGAGAGCGGGCAGCGCGTGGCTGCCGCGGCGGTGCCGGTGCTGGCGGCGGCATGGCTTGGCCCCGGGCATCTCTCGTCCTCCTGGGAGAAGAGAGACAGAGACGGCGCCCGACGGTTAGCTCCTGCCTGCCCGCAGCTACCTCCTCATGCTGAAGCCGAGCGCTGCCCGCAGGCTGGGAGAGAGCCCGGGAGACGGCGCCCGACGCGGGGACCGCGAGGCTGCTGCGCCCGGCGCCCTGCGCGGGATTGGCCGCTGCCGGAGCGGCAAAGGCACGTGCCGCCGCCGCCGCCGCCGCCGCGGCCCGATCTGGCGCGGGGAAGCGGGCTACCTCGCCGGTATCAGCCTCGGCGTCCCTGCGCGGCGTGGCCAGCTCCGGCGCCCCTCCGCGGCCGCGCGCGCTGCGAATGGGTCTGCGCCCGAGGCCCCTGCTCTTTTCCGCTCGCGTCCGAGGCCAGGCAGGACGAGGGGCGCGGGGCGGGGGCGGCGCTCCGTGGGCTGGTCCCGCCGCGGCAATCCCGCCCACCCGTGGCCGCGGCGGCAGCGCCCTCGCTCTTAGACCCCAGATCCTTCCAGGGAACATTTATAGACACGGATTATGAAAAGGGCATTAAGCAGGCAACGCATATTACAGGCCAGGGGCTTTAGAGGAGGGGGGATTTGCCTGGTTTTCTTTCCCAAGCGCGCCTGAAGCGTTCGTCGGACAAGTTTCGCCTTCCAGACGGACTTCACTTCGTGCAACGGTGCCTGGACCGCAGAGACGGCTAGGAGGACCTCTCCTATACAACTCGCTATTCAGAGGTGTGAGTAGGGAGGGCAAGACCGGCGTCTCGACATGCAACTTCAGTTTCTCGGGGGCGTCTTGTCGGCTCGGGGCGTGCGCCCTCCAGCATTTCCAGCTGGCTGAATTTGGTGCATTTAAGCACGTGGCTTGCTTAGCACAATTGTTTTGTTGTAACAAAAATGGGACCTCTTGCGGAGGTGGGAAAGGGGGATACAGGATTGGGAGTTTACGTCTTCAATGAGTTAAGGCTCCGAGTCCAATAGCTGGGGAATTTATTTTCGAAGATGCTATTTAAAACTTCGTTCCAGGATCTTCAGGCAATCTGCTATTCAATTTTATTGATTTAGTTTGTCGTCTCTTTTCAGATTTTTTTACAGGTTACAAAAGCAGCCTTTTTCCACAATAGTGTTCAAAGGCCAAAGTAGCACACTTCATTAAAATCTTAAGCGATCTCCCCATTTTTGGTGTCCAGGGGAAAAAAAAATTTAGTGCCTCCACCTCCTGATAGCAACTGATTAGTTTCCCGGAGCGCATTTTTTAAAGCTGTTTGTAACCAATCTCAATGGGCTAAGAGCTCTCAAGCTTGCTACTTAATACCCCTGAGTAAGCTATTCCAAATATAGATAACAATTAAGATTAAGAGGGGAAGAAAATTAATTCAGTTATTCATAAACCCGCTTCGGATTGTATCTCTTTCAAAGCCCTATCGCCCAAAGAGTTTCTAAATTGGGGGAGGGGGGGAGGATCTAGAAGGGAAAGCGCTTCGCTGATCTTTGCAGAGCCTCAAAAGAATTGAACTTTCCCCAGGCCATCTCAGTTGCTCAGCAGGTGCATTCACTGGGAGCAGGTAGCTGTTCATTCATTACCGCAATGAGAGCTCCCCGCCTAATCCCAAGCAATACTTTTATGTATATTAAAGCGAGACAAGCGAAGACACCCTAACACGACCTCCCCACCCACCCACCCACCCATAACATTTAAAGAGCCGCCTCGTATAAACCCAGGGGCTGACTAGGCAAAATCAACCCATCCATCACCCTCCTTTTTCCAACAGAGGATGGCGAGGAAAGGGGTTTCTAAACAATCGCTATTACCGTGCAAGAGGTGCTTCGCCATACGGGACGTGTCTGGCCTTCCCCTCTGGCGATTGGTCCGAAATCAGTCAAAATTCCACCCTGAACCTGGAGAAGTAGCCCGTGGAATTAGCAGCCATACACCTGCCTTATATAGTCCACCCTCCGCCTGTCCACTGGAGTGCTATCGACTTTAGGTGGGCGGAAAGCGACGAAGTCCTCTCTTAATCATCCTTCTGCGGCTCAACGAGGGTCTTTTTTCTCTCTCTCTCTTTCTCTTTCCCCCTGACATATTTCCTCCTCCCCACTTGTGCCCCGGAGGATGCTAATTCTGGGCCATCAATTGAGATGACTCTCACATAGCTACTTGTGAAATTAGATTGTCACGCAGATTAGGGGGATGTTCCCGGCTCCTGTGTCTGTGCAATCGCCTCCCCCAGCACTTTTCTGAGTCTCCGTTCTTTCTGTCTCTTAATCTTAGTGGGATTCCCTGGAATTGATGCCCCTATGGAAGGGATGGTGGACCGTGTGGGATGATTGGCAATAACGCGAGCCTTTCTCCCATTCCTGAATGAAGGGAGACAAGAAAAGAGTTGCGTCTACATGGCGTACACCAGGTTAATTTTGAGAGGGTGACAAGTGGTGGATGCGGGCTTAAGATGCATGAAGCATTCAGCATGTTAAAAGTCTGAAGGAAGGGTGTGTGAGCTGATTCCACAGATAAGTGACACGTGTATCCCACCAAGGATCCTACATGCTGGCGATTATGTGAGTTTGTCTGACCTGTCACGAAGAAGGTGAGGGGAACTTAAATAGCTACTGTTCAAGAGAGAACTAAGAGCAACTAAACCTGTTGAGAATCAATGGGCCTTAAATATAATTAGAAATGTCTGCAGAAGGAAATTGAAATATTTGTAAGCATGAATGGAATGAATTGACATCTCCCTGTTGAAAAGGAAGTGGTTCACCAAAGAGTAACTTTCACACCATAACACTCATTATTTCAAGAGAGTTTGGGAGCAGGCTTGGTTTTGATCCAAAAAGGTTTTTATTTCACAGACCTGTGCATGTCTACTGGAAACATTCCCTGGGTGCTTCCAGAAGATGTCTTTATAATGCCAGCACCTTACCTCATTTATGAAATGTTAAGGGTCTGCCCCTCCTGTGTTTCCCAATGCTTCTTCCATCTTT